TGGGAGACGCTGTCAGACACGGCGCAGTCAGGAAGTCAGTGGCATAACTGCATTCGACCTCTTTCATCTGGCCGTTAATTTTCGTTCCATTCTGATTAGTCTAACGCATTTCCTACATGCTTTCATTTTCCGTACATTCTGTTTACATCCAACCTAACCATACAACCGGCATTAATTATCGTTGTTTTTACGGTGTGATTCGTGGCAACTGGACCCACGGCACTTCGGTGCTCCGATCATAGTTGATCAACTGAAAATGACTGAAACGAACAATCGTCGACCAAGAAGTTGACAGGCTACAGTTGGCCGGAGTCACCAAGCCGATCAATAGAGCTTCAGCGGCAGCCCGAATTGTGATTTTGCGTGTAGCTTAACGCTCACTGCTATTCCTCTGGGAGACGAGATATGGGCATCTTACATGATTATCGAAAAGTTATACAGAAAGATCCGTCTATATGTAGATTACTATCGGTTGGAATACTGCATTATAATACCACAAGTACGCTCTACCCACTTACTGAAGAACTTTTGGCGCATTCGAACAGTGGCGTATCACCAAACCAGGCTTGTCCGACGCACACCTTCAAACTGAAACGTTGGAAGAATCGCGAGGGCTGCTAAAGATAAACATCCACTGAGGAATATTCAATTTGTGATAAGTCGAGCCATGGCTATCGTGCAAAGACGAGGCAGCGTCGGCGAGACAGCTTTCTTGAGACTTGCACTGCCCGGCGTCATAATCAGCCATTACCCCACAGATAACAGCACCAATAGTAATATATTACAAATGAGTAAGAGAATTTTAATTGTAACTTTTTAAAGGTTTTCGTCCCAATGACTCACAATCTACATAGCATAGCCTAGTCCAGAGAAGCAGCAGACACGTTTCGCCCGATAGGGGCTCGTCAGCAGTGCGCATTCCATCAGTCCCCCATTTGGAGATCGAACCCATGACCACTGGGGGCAGATGTCAACTACCCAGCAGCTTAAGCCGCTGAGCCATGGGGAATGTCGGCTGGGTTAAATAATTTGCAAGCTAACTGGGATATATAGCACGACCTATCTTCCACTGCCACGCAGGTAACTTAGCAGATGACAGTGGCTAGCCTCCAAAGGTCATGACTTCTCATTAGACGCCACGTTCATAGCACATGAAATTAGGAGAGGCTACATATTATATCAATAATTAGTAGGACTTTAATTTTAATTTATAAATAAGGTGTCAGCTGTACGCGGTAATGATGCTTCGCTGCCGAACGACCACCACCAGTCGCACGCGGGCTGGGTATACCGCGAGGACGCCCACCCCTACGCGGATTCGAACCCGCGCCGCAAGATTACGAGACAAGCTCGTTACCTCTAGGCTATGGGAAGACATAATTTAAGCAGGCAATCCGACTAGACGACAGTAGACGCCCTTGATGTTGACGGCAAGCCATGTCCTGTAACGTCACCAACCAATCACGAGGCGAGTCATGTGGACATCAGCCTGGAAGGCGAAACGGGCCAACGACATCGTTTTGTGGTCAGCGACTTCATTTCCCACTGCCAAGTCAACTTCTGTCCACCTGAAGCCTTGTGCCACCATACATGGTAAACAAAACAAGACCCTCCAAGGTAAGTGGTGACCAGGCGTACGTAGTACGTGCAGAAGCCAAGGCAACTTATTCAGTGCTATCGGTTGCTCCAAGGAACTAAACGGGTTATCCCTGTCTAGTACTCGCCTAAGCACACTATCGCTGCCCACCCGCTGGTGCCATCCGACACCAGAGATGCTGCGAGTGCAACAGTGATCAATGTCTTGAAGGCGCCGTAGGTACTCCGATTGGAGGGACCAAGTCTCGCTTCCATAGTAAAACGGCTCTCACTTTAGCCTTGTATACACGGACTTTTAGACGGAAGAAAATCTCTTGCTGACACCAAAATTCCGCATACTCAAAAAACAATCCTGGCTTTTGTAATACATGAACTGACTTCAGTTGCTAAACCCCCATGGTTGCTAAGACAGCTGCCATTGTAAGTAATCTGACCAATCACTTCGAGTTTCTCGCCGCTAAGTGTCAAGGGGGCATCAAGTGGCTGGTGGTCCTGCAACAACACTTTGTACTCTGAAGGTGCGAAGCGCATATCAAATGATGGGACCACTCTAGCGAGGTTATTCAGCGTTGATAGCTCCAACACAACATCGATAAAAAGCAGGACAATATCGTCCGCATAAACAATGGTAACTAGCTTTTCACCAGGCGGCACCTCGACGCCTGTATCGTGAGGCTCCTCTAGGGAATACTCCATGATGGAGACCACGACGAAGTTGAACAAAAATGGGGAAATTGGATAACCCTGACGAACGCCAATTGTTGTCAGAAAGGCATCCGACAAATTACCGTAGACCGTGACACGGCTTGTAGAACGTTCACATATTTCATTGGAACACCTTCCCGAGCAAGTATTTCGAAAAGAATGCATCGATCGACTGAATCGAACGCACTCATGAAGTTCAGGAACACAGCTACTGTCGGCCTGCGGTACGTGTGGCGCTGCTCTAGCAATCGCTGCAGAGTGAATATATGGTACATACAACCCCGTCATGGGCGGAAGCTTGCCTTTTCTTCCCTAACTCGTGATTCTCGCACCGTAATGAAGCGACTAACGAAAATTGAGGTCAGTAATTTTGTCACGAACAGCGTTAGGCTAATACCCCTACGTTGAGCACAGTCAGTGCGACGACCCTTCTTATATATCGCCACTACAATTGATTCGCCCCAGTTAGCTGGGATGGCATTTGCCTTCCAGACTTGTTCGAACAGGGAGGTCAATACTTTGCAGGGGACCACACTATCATCTTTGAATAGTGCGGGTGCGGGCGAATCCGGATCAGCAGCATGAAAACAAGTAAGGGCTGCAATCGCGTTTCGGACCTCAGCCTTCGAGGGAGTCTCCAAACCAACGGGCCATGGCTCAGCTTGCAACACCCAAGTAGGAAGAGGTCCGGAAGCAAGGGGACAACTGAAATGCTCTCGAAAGAGCGCCGCCCAATGAGCCATACGGCGCTCCTTACTATGAATCAAGGCACCCGCACTGTCTCTGATAGTCTCACTGACTGGTTTCCTGGGACCAGTGGTGCCGACCAGCTTGAAGAGCTTGCGATAATTGTCTACTGCTCCCGTCTCTTCTATCTCTTCAATCCGACGGGTCCACCAAGCTTCCTTGTCAGCAAGCAGGTTCTGCATTCCTTCGCGTCTAATAGTCTGCCTGGTAACATTTTGTTCAGAGCCAGTCGGTTGGTTTATTCTGGATTGTCACAGGTTCACCGACCTCTCAAATATCTAATGACTGGTGCGGTGACGATTGATAGTGCCACAAGCAGATGCCCATGCGTTGTGCATGGCGGCCGAGATCTTATTTCACTGAAGCTCAGTGTCATCAGGACAAGAGAGTGAAAGTTCGGCTTGCCTGACCAAACGCTGTGATAACTACTCATTGTGTGCTCCGCACATAACTGTGACAGAGGTTCACCGTTGTCAGTCCGTTTCTTAGTTAAGACCATAGTTACCAAATAGAAAAGATTCTGCAGAGCTCAGACGACCTACTTGCTTTCTCTCACCCCTGCACAGGACCACGCGTTTCGTCCTGGAGTTGGTAGGAAGAGTACCTTCCAGGAAATCGATCGGTGGACCCAATACCGGCCAGAAGACAACCTCTTCCCTTGAAACGCCGTGAACTGTTTTAATTCGCCGATGAGAAAAACATGCTCACGTGCGACTAGTGGTGGTTGGGTGGCAGCTGAGCGTCGGTACTGCGTACCGGCGTACTGCTGATGCCTTTTTTTTCTTTAATAGCCGACAATGGACCCCTTCACAATGCTGAATTGTGTGTATTGAACGACAGAGAGCACAAGGATTCACCTTATCATCTCACTCTAACGGACAGGCAGGGAGATTTGTGCATAACAACTAGAGGGCTAAAAAGAGCGACGATAATCATTGGAAGGTGATATTAGGAAGGAGCTGGCGGGAACAGAGGAGGGGTAACGTCGCTGTATGGAAAGCAGTGAAAAAATAATCGATTCGTCAGCCGTGCAACAAGCAAAACGAACGGCGTGCATAAAGGATGGACAAGGGTGTAGTGTTGATTTCAACGTGCGCCGCGGGACGAATTCTGTCAGTCAACGGTGGATGCGATTGAATTTGTTAAAGTGGAGCTCTTTGTCTTCTGGTGCCGGTTCCGGAGAAATGTTTAGACCGGCATGGTAACAATCATCACCCAAATACAAGTTGGATCGTAATAACTCTGAGCAGAACGTAAGGACAACAGTGAAGGTGGGTATCCGGGGAAAGGGATTTGGTTAGCTTAGTGAAATACACGATCCGATGCCGAAGTGGGATGGAGAGTAACATGTAAATAAATATAGTGAAAAATGAAAAGAGAAAAATAAATGAAATATCAGTCGGTCGAAAATAACTTGAAAACAGGGATTTCAGTGGTTTGGAAAAGAGTAGCATGGATTCCCTGAATGCGTACAAAAACCGGCACTTGACGGTTGTGTGGACCTGAACGAGCGCAATCGCCTGATTGCCATCGTTTTGATGGGAAATTACAATTCACGAAGCTGAATGACATTATTCACAATTTATGAGTAGTTCGCATTTCTTTAAAATTTCATCACGCCACGCATCATTGCACATAGACGTTGGATTCTAACCGATAATTATCCGAACGGACATTCGCGTTCATTTATGTTTGTTTACATAACATTACCGCCTTTTAACCATAACCAGTCCTTTGTTTTACTGCGCTGCGTTTGCTGAGCCCCCATTACCACCGCTGTTCGAACATGACTGGATTGGTTTTACATCCGTTTGCGAGTCTATTCACCTATTCGTAAGTCACCTGTGTATCTCTGATTTAGAACCACGGTCTATCCAGTACAACTTATTGTACCACCCAGACCGCGCGTACGTTTGGTGATTAGGCTTGTCAGTCGGCAGTACCGGTCGTAGCTACACAGATAAGTTAGCTTTTAGCATAAGTGCTATCCATCCATCAACGAGCAAAGGCTAGAATAAGAATGAACATAAAAGGAACGCAAATATTCCGACCGTGACTCACTTTCCATGAGCCCGATTTAAGAGACGGAGTTGAATCAGCAATCGCCTTCTTATGCAACTCTTGAATGCGGGAGACCACAGATTCGTCCTTTTGCTCGCGCTGTAGCTTGCGCGACTACAAGAAATGACAGCAAAGTATTAACGGAAATCACGACTATATAAATATATATATAAATATATATATATATCACAACAATTGCCTTTACAATGGACATGCAACCGTCCCAATCGAACAGCAGACTTACACGTAAAGAAGCTCGCAGTTGCTCCTTGATTTTCAAATCACATGCCTGAAAGGTTCTGGTGAACTCATCTGTGATTTTGGCTATCTCGTCAAAAGTGAGCGCTGGAGAGAAGATGTGGTACCACTCCCCATTTGCCGATTGGATGTCCGACGAATTCCATTTCGCAGCGATGTAAAGACTGGCTGCAGCTATCGCCTCCGCTGAGTGCCTCAGGATCAGGGTGGTGAGATGAAGAATATTGGTGCATATGTAGTAACTGGTGTGGGATATTTCTTTGGGGAACTTGTTCGCCCGTATTGCGTTAATCAGCAGCACATGAGGCTGTTTCACTTCAAGGGTTTGAAAGCCAATAACCATCAGAATAGTAGCCTCCAAAGCATGAATATTTTGAACCAAACGTTTGAATGTGTCGGAGGACTCATTGGGAACGGGTCGCCTCAAAATTTCGTACGTGGCCTTAATGATAAATGCTAACTTCCGAGAAAAGTCTTCTGTTTTGCATGCACAGTAAAAGGAAGCGATGGCAACCAAAATAGGCTTGATTGTTTCCGGAGAAAACACCTCGTAAAAGTGATGCATGTAGTAGATTCCAGCGTTGATGACGACCTGCGTTCTAGACGAGAGTATGAAGGTGGAAAAAGTTGGAAAATTGCTGAGCAGCTGAGACGGGCACAGTGGTTAGAAGATCATACTCAGGGTGTGAAACAATAAAACAGTTCAGGCCAGTGGTAGATCGCCGACCGATCAATAAGTAAAAATGCGCTATACCACCGAACCACAACTACCTTCATAGCCGAGAAGTTTCACCTGAGGAGCGTCGTTGATAGAAACTTTCATCCTGCCCGGGGAAATTTTCCGGCGCGCGCAAAACTATCACCAAGTGGTCATGACCTCCTAGGAGTAGGTAGGAATCAGAAAGTTGGGAACAATACTAACATAAATGATAAAAAGAAGTGCCGTTGTGCTGCCTGATTAAACCTCGACATAAGGCTTGAAACACCAACAAATGCCGCATGAACTGTAGCGAATGATTAACCACAACTATAAGTGGAAGCGAGCATGCTTAGGAATAGTATTATGGGGAGAAACCTCAGAATCCTAAAAACTAAGTTCAAAAAAGCGACCGAGATCTATCGTGTAAACGGCACAGGAACAACAATTGTGTCCGTTGGGTGGACACTAGGTAAAGAATATTCAACCATCAACGCCACTTAACAGACTAGACTTAAAGGTAGTGCTTTGACGACCCTCTGAGATGTGCTGGATAATGCTTACTGCACGTTCAGAGCCCTTACACCAGAGTAGTAAATGCATAGAGGATACACAAACGAAGTTTCTTGACCTTCTAGTTTGATGATTGGAATAAAGGCGGTTCCTTATCCATAAAGACGGATTCTATGTAATCCAATGTCTAACACTAGCTATTTTGCGATCAGATTTCGAAACAAAGGCACTGGCTAAGAACCCTAATTGTTTTGTTCGTCCAGGCCTAAACAACCAGGCAGTAGCCAGCCCGCACAATACAATGATGAGTTCAAATGATTTTTTGATGCTCATGTAGTCATAAAAGATAACCAACAACGTTCTATCGGCTGCATCAAGCAGTTGTTGAGGGTGCCACTGCTCAGGCCGTCTTGTCCTCTTACCATTGCCTACGCTACCTTATACATGCTGTTCCGTTCCAAGTTCACGCCCTTTACCAAGCTCAACTTTTGGCCATCCTTGATCTTACTCTGAAAGACACTTGCTTTCCACTTTCGACTCAACGCAATCGCATAGCGTGTCTGCTGCTATGGCAATGTGTTATTGTTCGACCAAGTGGAAAGCCTCAGGGCATCTTTCCTTTGGCCAGGTCTGGCTTGCTTCAGTGTGGCACCCTGTAGTAAGTCTGCCAACGGGACACAGTTACCCTAACCGTAGATACTATCGGCTGTTACCGGAGACACGAGCTTTGTGCTCACTCTCCGCTCCCATTTATGTGATACCGACGGCAGCTTACCATTGCGCCGAACCGGAGGAAATACAGTTTCAAATGCCACCCACTTCAGTGTAGATATTGTTCTGAGCCAACGATCTGAGGCCACCCCGATCAATTGGACTCCAATCAAAAAGCGGTCGTATGCTGTTAGATCGGCCGACTCATTCGATGCGTCATGTTTACGTGAGGACACAAGGCTCCCCTTTGTCATTCCTGCCTAAGCCAACAAAAACTAGCACCGACCAAGTGAAAGATCACTTTGATCCACAAATGAAAGAGCAATTTCGTCACACATGTACAGACAATGTAAGTTTGGCTGGCGATGTGAACCCTCCAGCTGGAAAACTGTCTAATTATGAGCTGGATCTAGGTGATCAACACGGTGTAGACTTCATTAATGATAACGGTAAACGGTTGATACATCTGTGTGAAGATGCTTGTCTACTTTTCATAAGAGTGTGCTTTCGACACAGGACTTACCGGAAAGTTACATGCCATGGCGGTTTTGAAACAGCCATAAGCGCAAATTGATGACATCGGGATCAGTTGTCGTTAATAAGTTAGCATATAAAAATACCGTTTAGTCTAGACTGAAAGCGTGAAACCCAACTATGCACTTATATATGTTTATCTCTGGGTGGGTTGCCGGCCCGTAGCCTTAAGGAGCACAAGCCTGGCTTGTGATATGAGGACGCGGGTCCGAGCCTAAGTAGGGACGGGCGACCCTCGCAGTATCTGTAGCTCACGTGCGACTGGTGCTAATTGCGCGACAGTGAAGCGTCCGTACCCCGCAGCGGTGTACTATTGATGCCTTTTGTTCTGAGTGCGTTTCTGTAGACGTTTGCGACGACGCCGTGAGTTCATGGACGCCAAATGGTGAATCCATATGTTCTTAGTGGGTATCAAAATAAGATGGCATCTGGTCTGAGTAAAATCTGATTAAACAAAGAGGAAGGCAATCAGACATGTGGCATAGGTAATTACATATGCTTCGCTGAAGGCCGGCATTGCCCGTGATTCATTGAAGCTCTTGAATGAGTACTTGAAGTTCAATACTCGGCTGGAAGAATCCAAAGTGGGATCGGAATTCCTCAATGAATGCGTGCAGGCAAACCGCTATCCAAAAAACACTTTTGGAGGGAAATACTACGGTGTGGCTACCCAAATGCAAAAAGCTTGAAGAGATATGCGCTAAATTATGTGGATTTCATCTGCGCTAAAATGTCGGAGTAGGAAAGATTGACTTCGAAAAGATTATCTGCGGTGTTATGCCTGCCGGAAAAGTTGAGACAGCCTTTTGAGAAATATGTAGAATTGGTTTAACAGAAAATGGGAGTAAGGAAACAAAGGAAATTAGTACGCTTAATAGCCGTCTACCAGTTGACATTTCCGAATAAGTCGCAGCGGTATGTGTTTAACTTTTTCAGTGTGATCCTAAACCAGACGCAGCTGAACGTGTTATCATTAGGTCCAAAGTTCTGCATTCCACTTAAGAAAATGGATCAGGTGGCTTTAGAGGTGCGGTTTGAAAGCCTAACTGCTCAGACTAAAGACCTGATTCCAATCTCATCAAGTGATGTTGAGAATACAGTGGAATACATTGGAATATTGAGAGCAGGAGGGAGATCCCTTGTCAGCTCCATCGGTTCCGAATCATCACAAGGTGGGTGCTTGCTGTCGGGAAGCGTTACTCCTTCGGAGATCATCACCTTTGAAGTAAGAAGTAAGAGCAGCAGGATCCTGCCATGTGCGTTAGATGGGTGTCTAGCAATAGCTTGAAACTTTCCTCTGTCCGCGTAGGGGTGGGTGTCCTCGCGGTATACTCAGCCCGCGCGCGACTGGTGGTGGTCGCGCGGCAGCGAAACGCCGTTCCGGCGTACAGCTGACACATTATTTATTATTTCCTCTGTCTGTGAGTCAATGGCGTGTTTCGACAAACCGTTCCAATCATTTACTATTCTGGAAGATAGGGCAGCTTGCAAACGGACGCGAAGTGTCCTTAGTTTAAATAATTTCTATTTGTGGCCACGTGTCCAGCTGCCCATACTTAGATGGAAGAGCTGCTGCAGCTCACTTCCAAGCTCACCCCTTAGGATGCGTCTGGTGTAGAGATCGCCGCGACAGCGACGGTATTCCATGGAGAACAGGTTCAAAGTCGAAGAGTGTAGGGAAGATGACGAAGCTCCGATATAGATTTTGAACCGCGCCTCTGCATCTCTAGCAGATCATGTTCAGATTACGTTAGGGGGTAAGCGGTCGGAGGACTATTCTAGGATTGGACGGACATGCGAAGTGAAGAGCGTTCTAAAGATCTCCGACGTAATTTTACAGAACGATCTTCGCAAATCCCAGAGCATTCGGTTGGCTGCCGCGACCTTCTTCTGTGTCAAGGGATGTCTTGAGATCGTGCGAGATGACGACTCTCAACTCCTCCTCGTGACAGACTTGAAAAGATATCCTCCGATATGATACACACCGAAAGGATCCGGGCCACCGATCGAAAGAACGGCACATTTGTCACGGTTTATCGGGAGTCGCCCAACAACGGACCAGTTATGCAGCTGGTCAAGCGAAGCTTGGAGCCTGTCGGCATCCTTGGGGCAAGATATTTCAGACCACAGTTTGAGTCATCAACGTAGACTAGACAGTCGGTTTGAAGTGTCGCTGGAGGATCGCTGGTGTGCAGTTTAGAAAGCTCTGGTCCAAGGACGGAGCCTTGGGGAACCCCACTGGTCCTAAGCACAGGGACAGAGAGCGTTTGGTTCAACTTTACTTGAATAGTTCGTGTTTCCAGGAACAAGGACAAGAAGTTTCCGGTGACACCAACTCCCTGAAGTTTGAGCAGAAGCCGTTTATGTGGCACTTTGTCAAATGTCTTGTTAAAATCAAGGTGTTTCCTCTCGTATGTTGCTTTAACCCATGCTTCACTGGCAGCAAGCAGATTAGTGATGCAGGATCGTGTCCTGCGGAATCTGTGCTGTGAGAGGGAGATTGCGCATAAGCCTACCAAGTGAGCGTTGAGAGCGCGCTTGATTATTCTCCCCATGATTTTGCCGACAACAGATGCTAGACATATCGGACAGTAGTTCGCAGGGTTCTGCCGGTCACCACTTTTGCATTTACGCCTTACTATTCCTACTTTCCAAGCGCTGGGTAAGCGGCCCACTGCAAGTGAGAGCCGGAATACTTGGGACATTGGGTCGGCGATGTACTGGGCCAACATCTTGAGGAATAGTGGGTGTAGTCCGTCAGGGCCTGGTGGGGAGTTAGGGTTCAACTCATGGATTAGTCGCATGACAATCTCGATGGTAATTTCAACTTGCTTCAGAATTGGAGAGCACGTCGTTCTTGGGCAGCGGTGGCTCTACCGTGTAGACAGCTGAGTACTGCGAGGCCAGTAGACTGGTCTTCTCATCATCGTGAGGTAATACAGTGCTTTCTCAAGGGGCAGACAGAGAAGGGATACCAACGCCCGCTTTGGTGTTTCGCCTTATGTATGAGAAGAGCATCTTCGGACACGTTCGGGATTGAACAGCCAGATACTGTTCGTATCGAGCTGGCTTCTTCCGCTTCTTCAGGGTGCATAAGTTTCGAACCTCTCCGTACTTTAGGTAATCCGAGGTTAGCTGTGTTCT